AAGGATGGAAAGAGGATATTCAAATGAGTGCACAATATGCTGATGGCCTCATCCTCCCTGATTGGATCCTTCTCATCATTTCTAGCCTGCTTCTGGCCTGCATATTTATACCTGCCTCTGGAAATTTCCACAACATGCATCTGACGAAGTGGGTCTTTTCCCACGAAAGCTTATGCTCCAACACTTCGGTTAGTCTATAAGGTGCCACAGGACTCTTCGCCGCTTTTGCAAAACTTCCTGTGGAAATAGATATTTTTTTAAGTCTCTCTACTCTGTTTCCCATTACCAATTCCCCAAGCCTTCTACTTCCCCTGCCTACTGAAATGTATTTCTATTCAAATGATAAATCCCCTTTCAAGTTGGATTCAAGAACAATTTTTATGTCACTGAGTTATACATTTGCAGCCTTTGAAACCTGAATTGTGTCTTTATGCTTCAATGTAATTTTTCAGTAAGGCTTCTAATTGAGCTGTGCGATTCCTGATGAGCATTCTCTTCCTTTTCATGCTGGCAATAAAAGGTTCCTTATGATGTCAACTTTACAAAGAACACGTCTAGTTCGCATTTCTAATTAGCTTGAATTTTGATGTGGTGTTTCACTAGCAACACTGAAAATCATTTGTTTTTATAAAAGATTGTGTGTGGTTATTGCAGAAAGATATTCATTAAAACCCAGCAGAAATATTAATTTCAAAATGAAGGTTTTGGTAGATATCTGAAGGCGCAATAGCAGCTGCTAAAAGATGTTTAAAAATACCTTGTGCAAGAACTGACTGAGTGGCTCATGTAATGGCCAGTTACTATTATTCATTATTTGTATTGCCTTAGCACCTAGGACAGGGGTGGGCAATAAGCGAATGTGATAAGCAGCTCTACATACGTGAATAGAAAAGCTAGACCTACATAGGGATGTAAGTGACTAGTCAACTACCCAATGAGCATTTGACTAGACTAGTCGTTCCCCCCCCCCCTCCCAGAGAGGCAGCAAGGGGCAGGGGGAGTACGAGCTGGTGCTGGGAGGAGATGACTTAAAAGCCAATTCCCCCCAGCACTGTCTCCGTGGGGGGGCAGGCGAGGCAGAGGGCAGCGGGGAAACGGTGCGAGTGGGGATTGAAACAGTCCTGCTCGCACTGATCCCACTGCTGCTCCTCTGCCTTTGGAATGTACAAGAGCTCTTATACATTTCAAAGGGAGAGGCGCAGCGGGATAGCATGCACCCCCCCCCTTTACCAACTAATCGAGTAGTCGATGGAAATTCCATCGACTACTCGATTTGCTGATTAATTGAAATTTAACATCTCTAGACCTACAGAAGAACGTATTTGTCTCTGGCATGGTCTCCTTGGGGTGCAATTCACTTGTATTCAAACAGCTAGCCCAAGAGGCTTATGCATCACTGCAGTCCCACTGAAGTTCTATTTAGAGGGCTTAAATAGTCCATAAGCCTTGCGTCCTCCCTCTTTAGAGGGGGGGTTCTTACCGTATTTGCTACAGCCCCTTCTTGGTGATCTCCTGGGTTCCCAGCTCAGTGGGGGCTATAGAAGCCGGGGGCAGACAGGCAGCAGTAGCTGGGCTCCTATGGACTAGTCTCCCAGCTACTCCAGTTGTTCCCTACTCACATTGTTTCAGAGCAGGCTCCGCTTTTCAGGTAGCTATGAAATCCTTGGGCATTAGTTGCATGGCCCAGGAAACGTTGAGAAGCCAACAGATGAGGCCTGCTTGACAGGGGAAACATCAGCTCAAGTACAGGTTGAACCTCTCTAATCCAGCACCCTCGAGACCTGATTGGTGTTGAGCCAGAGAATTTGCTGAACCACCGGAGGTCAATATTGTCTAGCAGCACTACCAACACTTCCACTGCCTACCCCAAACGTCTTCCAAGAGCCCAGTAAGTTAGGGCTAAACAACAGCACAGAACACAGAGAGCCAGGACAAAGTTTGGTGGCTGCAAACAAACTTCATGGGACTGCGAGAAACTTGGCCACACTCCTCCTGATAAGTAGACATCTGGCTAACTAAAATCATGCCAGACCACGGAAATTGTCGGACCAGAGTGTGGAAGACTAGAGAGGTTCAGCCTGTACCATTGTCAAGGACCTGCTGTAGTCTGTAGGATCCCTTTTTACTGCATGGGTTTGACTGTACATTTACATCTCAAGCAAGAGCTGAATTATCTATAAGCCCAGAAGCCTGTGGGTCACACCTGCTTCGAATAAATGGGAATGCAGTGCAGTTGGCTTCATTTTTAATGTGCGCTGATTGCCTGGCTTAAGATATAGCTTGGCACAAAGGGACCATTGCAGGGCTCTGTGGGTTGACACTACTTCAGATTTATAGTGTCTGGTATTTTCTTTGCCTTGCAGGTAGTGACATACTGCAGTGGATTATGCAGCATCTGAAAATCGTGGAGGAAGGTAGGAAGTATAACCATCTCATGCTTTCCTAGCTTTGTACTGTGAAACTGCAGTTCATTGTTAGATGCAACCTCAATTCCTCTCTCCTGGGTTGCTTCTTAATTCTACTGCAGTCTGTGTGTATTATCAATATATCTGACTTCGCTCTTTCTAGAGGCACTAAACTTGGGGAATCTACTTGTCAAGTATGGCTACATCTACCCTTTGCAAGAGCCGAAAAACCTCATCCTCAAAACAGACAGCAGCCTCTACAGATTTCAGGCAAGTTGTATCTTACACGCCAAACATGAGCTGGGCGTAACATGCCCTGCATTTTGGGTTAGAAACAGAACAGTCTGTGCTTCTGTTTAATTAAATTACTTTCCCTTATAGCTTTGGAACACCAGTGGTTCCTTCTGAATCTATTTTCCCTTGCAGCTTTCACACTAGCAAATGAAATCAGTGGAACAGTTTCAGGAGATGGTACAATCATAGGCTCATAGAATACTAAAACTGGAAGGGACCTTGAGAGATCCCCAAGTCCAGGCCCCTGCTCTTGTGGCAAGACCAGGCGCCATCTAGATCATCCCTAATAGATGTCTAACTTGCTCTTAAATATCTCCAGAGATGGAGATTGCACGCCCTCCCAGGCAATTTAACTTCCCGACAGTTAGGAAGTTTTTCCTAATGTCTAACCTAAACCTCCCTTGCTTTAATTTAAGCCCATTGCTTCTTGTCCTATTATCAGAGGTTAAGGAGAACAATTTTTTCTCCCTCTTCCTTGTAACAACCTTTTTAAGTACTTGAAAGTTATTACCATATCCCCTCTTAGTCTTCTCTTTCCCGAACTAAACCCAGTTCTTTCAGTCTTCCTTCATAAGTCAGATTTTCCAGACCTTTAATCATTTTTGTTGCTCTTCTTTGGACATTCTACAGATGAGCAAATAGAGTATACTTTAGTAAGAGGATCTGATAAGCAATTGAGATGATTCATGGTTGGATTTGCTTCCACATACGATGAGAGATTAGGCTACTATTCTATAATTTTCAAATGAGGTTTATTAATATCATTTGTCTGTTCCCCAATCCAAGCAAGAACATTGCATAGTAAGACTATGATAAGCCTGTGCTTTGTTGTTTTGAAAGCTTGCATGGTTTTGAAAGACTCACGTTTTTGTTAACAATAACGAATTGTCCAAGCGGAGGAAGTGGCTATGTAATTGACTTCATTAAACCTGATTTAACAAGAACAGTAAAAATACCTTGCCTTGTCTTCCGAACTGTTTATGAATCTGCACTAAGAAGATGGATATTTTGTGTGTGCGTTGATTCAGCCCCTTAAATGGTAGAAGTCTGAAGGACGATATCGTAGCATATTTGCAAAGGCGGTTACTCCCTTCTCCTGCTGACTATATAAAAATACAACATAGCCAATACAATGCCATTAAATGTAAGGATTTTAAACAGCAGCTGATGTAGGCTATTTGAAAACCGAGGTCTTGTCTTTTGGCTTCTTTCGGCAGGCACCCTATTTCTGGCCCACCCAGCAATGGGCAGCAGATGATACCGACTATGGTAAGTGTTAACATGATAGCGGTTAGCAGCTACATTTCTCCACCACCGCCATGTCCCATTCTGCAGCACATAAACTGGGCAGGCTAGTGTGAGAGGAAAAGGATTCATCTTCTTTCAAAGCATCAGGGTACCAATGGAGGCAGGAGAACTGACGAGGCAGGGCAAAAGGTAGAGCCTTATCTGGCAGGGCAAATAACATGAGCTGGGGGCAGATTTTCAAAGGCACACTGTGGCGGGCCCCGCCTGCCTGGGTCCCCAACACCCTTGTAAGACAGTTTATAACTGGCCCTTTAAGCAGGGTTAAGGCCCTCCGGCCTGAGTCCACACAGTAGTTTATAACTGGCCCTTTAAGCAAGGCCGAGTCCACAAAGCAGTTTATCGTTGTAGTGGGGACGCACCCCAGGTAGGGGGACCCGGGCTCACCCTACTCAACCGGGTCCCAGCCCAAGGCCCTGTGAGCGACCAGGTAGCGGGTCACTTCTTTGGCGGGGCCCTCCAGCCGAAACCGAGGT